ATGTTAATTGATTTTCAGAAATTATATTATTGTCTAGCAGTACATTGTTATTTGCATGTAAAAATTGATTTTGACATTATAATATGGTGGCTAGAAGCAACTTATTTCTAGTATACAGATCATGCCTACAATCATGACTGTGTTTACATCATTTTTTACAAACAGCTGTCAAAATTTGAGAAGAATATAAAATAATAAAAAAGACATAAATAAATAAGTCTGAAAACAAAAGAAAAAAAAGCTTCATCTGCATACTTAATGCGTACTACGTACTTTTAGATATATCTGCATACATATGCTGATAGATTGCCAACTTATTTTTGTCAGTTCATTGTACGCAATTACGTGTGTTTTTACAATAATTAGTTTACTTGAATTACATTCTATGATACATTACATACATTGTTGATACTTTACCAACTCAGTGCTGGCTATTTATTATATGTGTTAACTTATCAGGTAATTGATGACCTTATGTTATAGAAATGTAGGGGTCATCTATTATTTACCTGAAGTAAACAGAGAGGAGTCCCTTACCCTACTTGTGAGTGACCTATTTTGTGCTTCATATGTTTTTGCGATGCTTATTTCTTCCTATAAAGGTAAGCCCGCGTATTTATCTGCACTTAATTGCTTTATTTTCCTATTGCTGGAACATTTCTTTGAAGGTTAAATTACACTACATAGCTCTTGACTTCTAGCTGCCAAAAAGTCAATAACCTTCGTAATTTTATTCCTCAAGTGCTTATTCTTGACTGCATATCTTAGAAATGGGAATAAATCGTCTTCTGAATTTGGCTTCTTTAGATGAAGGGAATCTGTTAATGGGTAGGAAAATAGACAATTCTCAGGGTGACCCTTTTCACCACTTGCACAGGAGTCTGATGAAGAGAGATTTCTTGCATAGAGGTACGTGGAAAAGGGGACCGTACCCCGTGATAAACCACGTGATATATCTGGAGAGATGGATTGGAGGAGAGTCAACTGTGGGGAAGAGGTTATAAACTCTTCTGGTTGTATTTGCAGCGCCCCACCATTGTTGCCATAAGTCTTTAGGTGTGATCTGAAGTTTTAGTTTGAGGTGAGAAGCTGGCCAAGGGATGCTTATTTTCTTTGCATTGATTCCCTGTGCTGCCTCCTTAGGCATGAGTTCATATTTATCTCAGGGAAAAGACTTGCGTCACTTTTGAGGTATTTTAATGCTGATTGAGCATTCGAACATTAAATAAAATCCTGTGTAAGTTGACTTCAAATCACTTAAAGCATTTTTTATTCTGTGAACTATTCTTGATGGAAATCTAGACCAATTATACAATTTAAAAGAAGTCGCAGGATATTTCTTACTTCACAGGCTACTATTCAGCAGTATCAGAATTTTCTTGCATTTTTGCAATTTCTAGTAATTCTAATTCATTGCTGTACTGTATGATTTGTTTTAAAGTTTAGCTTAGGTTACGAAACTTTAGAAAGTTATAATACAATTATAGATGGAAAAAAATGGTTAATACATTCACAGTTCATAATAATTTTTCTATTTTCATTATTCATATCCTTTATAGTTTATAAAAACTACAAAAAGATGAAACATGAAATATAATTTGTTAGTATATATAGGGATTACCCAAATGAAAAAATGGAAATGTGCGACTGCAGAATGACTGCAGCTGTAGCAGCGCCAACGAATAGGGATATGAAGAGTGGTAGGAGGTGGGTAACGCATATTTCTGCGGTTCACCCATATGTGGTACATAATTGAGGTTAATTATCCAAGGTTTCCCTAACCGGGGTTATCTGAAGTGCTGGTACAAGCGTGATAAATTTCGCGCTAATTCCATCACAAGTATGAAAGTATCAAAGCACCAGCTTCGGCGTTCAATAGTGAAACCTGCTGGAAGAAGAGGAAACTGATCGAAAGTGCAGTCGAACTGTACGGTCACTATCTATCTCGATGCTGACGACTGTGTGACACACAACATTACCTCCGGTAAGGGATAGCTCGCGGTAGTACGGTTTCTGATTGCCAAAGATGAGCGTAATGCGGACATCTATCGGCGAATGGTTGCATTTGATGGTGAGCACTATTTAGGTCGAACAGCTGTGAGCAATGGGTGTAAAAGTTTTCGTGAAGGGCACTAAACGATATTGGATCTACCAAGACCACTCTATGCAAACATCGTCATCACCAACGACTCCACTACCGCCGTTTATGGAATTATCAGAGCTAATCGAAGAGCTCGGACCTGTGATATCGGTGGCGAACTCAACCTGAGTAAAGGAACGGTTCACACCATCATCCAGCAATAGCTGCTGTACAGTAAAGAGTGTGCGGAATGGGTAACAATACGCCTTCCTTTGATCATATAAGAAACAACGAATGGGCTTCAGTCTCCACTTAATCCGTTATAAGGAGGATCCCGCATTTCTGGAATGCATCGTTGCGGATGTCGAGTCATTGTGTCGCTACTACACTCCCGAATCCAAGAAAACGAGCATGCTATGGTGACACACAACATTACCTCCTATAAGGAAATCGAAAGCGATGACCACTGCTCGGAAAGTGATGCTTTCGTTTTTCTTCGATCACCGTGAACCACTATTGATTGATTTCCTGTTCCAAGGGAGCATTATCAATTCAACACAGTACTGCAGTATTTTGACGAAACTACGGAGAACAATCAAAAGCACACGGTCAGGCCTTCTAACACTACAGGTGATCCTTCTCCATGACATTGCCCACCCACATCCACATGTCTCCCGCGAAACTTAGACGACCTTAAACAAATTTTGTAGGGAAGTCCTGGAACACCCTTCGTACAGAGCGGATTTGTCACCCTGTGACTTTCATATTTTTGGGACACTTAAGAGAGCATTACAGGGGAAACACTGGAAACATTTCCATTCGGATGATGAAGTGAAGGAAGTTGTGCAGGACTTCCTCAATTAACCACGATTTCTTAACAAAGACTGCTGCCGAAAGAATCGGACATCTGTTACAACGTCCATGGTGATTTCCTTGATTTCCAATAAAGGTATTCCTTTTATTCAACTTGTGCACTTTTTGTTTGGGTAGCCATTATATAAGCACACGAAATTCAATGCAACTTGTTCCTAGTGTAATATTACAATACCTATTGGCTCTGAATTTAAAAAATACAGATGAGAAATATTTCTTTCAATTGTATTGAAAATTGTATAGCTTCTTTAATTTTTGTTGTAAAAACGTAACACTGTTTTTACTTCCTTGTACGAAGTAAAGAAAGTATTGCAATTGAGAAAAATTTCGAGCATCATATTTTAGCGAAAATATCCATTTTAATCACTCTCGAATCCATTTGAACTATATTTTTGTGTAACATGTATACCTGTTGACTCTTTCGTTCCAAAAGGGTTGTAAAATTGATTTAAAATGGAATCATAAGGGACTTTTTAATGACGTCTGCACATACGTACGTGCCTATGTATGTATCTCGCATAACTGAAAAATCGATTAGCTGTAGATCGATTATCGATTAGCTCTTCAACTTAGTTTTAAGAGGGAGAGCTCTGCATCGCCACAGGTAAGTTTTTTCTGTTTCTTTTGTTACAATTTTTTCTTGTCTTAGCAAGACCCACTGTGTTCGTTTTCATCTTAATTTTCACTTAAATTTAATTACAGGTTTCTAAAATCTTATAAAAGAAAAATCTTTAAGCTTGCAGGCCCCCAGCCCGTATGTTTTGGTATATTTAGGACTAATAGCAGACAGCTATTTATTTTTATTTTTATTTTTATTTTTGTCTTGATTTTAGATGTAATCGGAATTGTTTTTACATATTTTCACACCTTAATGTGTCATTTTGTGCGGACGCGTCGGGAAATTGGAACAGAGAATTGAGACTAATAAATTTTCCAAGACACTTTGTGTAAATTAAAAATTTTAGCGAAAAAGTTTCAGTTGTCTGTTTCGGCGAAACTCGTAATGGAGTTAGCTTGATTCGACGTTCAAATCAGATATTTCCCTTGAAAAGCCAGTTTGGAAGCCGAGTTCAGCTAATTTACCATTTTTCGCTTTCTATTTTTATCTGATTTTGTTTGTTTTATGTTTTACTTGTTACTTGGTTTGAATTTCATATGTATTAATTTTTCAAATGGCACATTCATAGGTATTTTACTGTATTTTTTGCCATTACTAGTTTCCAACACTGAGTATTTTACTATGTTTTTTTCCTTTCTCGTGTAGCATATTTCTCACCCTTCAATGACATTGTTTTTGAAAAACGTGTTGAACTTTTTGGAGCCACAGCTCCTGGTAACTTTTAGGCGAGCTTACTACTATTTCTATATATATATACATACACCGACCCTTTACCCGGCTCGGTGAGCTCTATTTGTTTTCTTATAGGCTGGTAAATTGTGCCTTTTTTGTTTAAAAAGTGATTGAATTATGTTGTTGTTACGTTCAATTAAGGTTTTCATGCATTTAGTTAATCTGCATGCAGCAGTTCTAGAATTATCCCCAATTTAAAAATGTAAGTTGCGCTAGGCCTAACGTGGCGGCTATTTGTTTACATTTGAAACTCGTAGTAAAATAGTGAATTAAGACAGTTTCTGCACCAACTTCAGTGCCTTTTTACTCTTTGCGGCCAAAAGTTAACATAAAAAATTTGTGCTCCGAAGATTTTGTCTTTCTGCCAGTTGGCCGAATTTTTGCATAGGGATTCTAATTTTGTTTTTAAATATTTTTAAATGTATTCGAGGTTTTAGGTTTTGCTGTATCTTAAAGTTTTTAATGAAGATGTTTTGAGATTTTATGTATTTTTCCCTTGCCACGAAGTGAGGACTGAATTGATTGAGTTAGAAATATATGTCTAATTAAATAAGTTTAAATGTAGTGCAGCAAAAAATGGGTACAATTAAGTATGCCCTAGAAGGAAGTCATGTGGTACAAGGAAGTCATAACAGATTTCTTTTTCTTGCTTATAAAAAGCAGGATATTGAGGAAATGAATCATCTGACTACTCACTTCTTTGTCATTAATATACCAGTGTAACTCTGCAGGAGGTGTAGATTTGGCCACCGTACAATTGATATCCACTGTATCTCCCACTTTGTAAGCACGTTTACCTCCTGTGATGCTTGGACCGTCCTTCTGCTGATCTAGTAATAAACAGAATATAAACATTTTGGGACAGCAATGTTAAAATTGTTCAGGAAATACAATCATTTCATAGCTAATTCATCAGAAAAAGATAAAAATAGTATATCAGGTAAGGTGAAAATAGAAATTGAACATAAATCTCGCTCTCCCATATTTTTTTCTAACGTAAAATGTGCATTATTCTATAACTCTGGCATGTATCTTGTCCAGTGTTTAATTTGCACCTATATAAATAATGAAGGATACTATTTTGCATTTCTGTCACATCTAAGTGCTTTGTAAGTCAAAGAACATGCTATCCAACTAATCTAAAAATAACAATGAACCTTCATTATTGGGTAAGATTTATTAAAATTTCCTTTCCTCGAACAAAGTTGAAGTGGAAGACCTTCTGCTGTATGAAGATTATTTTCAATAAATATGTCGAAAATTGTCTTGGAGATTTGGCAGTACATTTGAAAAACTATGAAGGGGGAAGGGAGCTACGAAATACTGGCGAATCCCTGCGAAGTAGAATCGATATGCGATAAATAAATAAAATGACTATTCCATTATTGAGTACTTTAGCACTTTAAAACAACTGTAGTAGAAAGTGAACTTCTGTTGAACTTAAGATTGCGCTAAAAGGAATTTCTCAATTTCATATGATAATTCATTCGTAAAAAATACGATATGCTTAGGTCTAGTTAAAAAGGCGAGTTTCTTAGAAAAGGGCCACAATTCTTAAAAGATATTTTACTAGGCTATATTTTGCTAGGACATATGTGGCATACACAACAATCATTAATAACTGACGAATTTATTCTAACTAAAAATGAAACAAGATGCTCTTAAATAAAATTACAAAGTTTAACAACCAAAAGTTTTCATTGCGAATCAAAGTAAAAAGCTTCTAGGTTTTGAATGTTGGACTAAAATGTTGCTTAAACGGCAGTTCTCTCGCCTCCGTATTTAGAAGGAAACGATAATTTTACTCAGAAAGCCTTGTAAAAAATAGGATATCCCTTTAATGTAAAGATAAGAAATGCTGCGGTTTTTAGCATCTCGTTTCGAAAAAAAAATTAAAAGATGTTTGCAGTTCAACAAAATTCAGATCTGGCTTAATGTTAATTTACAGGGAAAAAAAAAAAAAAAAAAAAAAAAAAAAAAGAAGGCATTTCAAAGACACGTTCTTTTTTTCCAAGACCAAACGAATTCAAACATATTCATGGTCTTTTAAGTAATTTCATGCAAGCAAGGTTTGTCAGATAATCAGGTAGTCGAATTACAAATTTTCCACACAGAAATTATCATTTTCCACCCAGTTTTTTCCAATATAAGTTTAAAGTTTTTCGAAATGTAGATTTCAAATTAAAGTGCTACTTTTTCATATTTATTTAAGATTTCTGTAGTAGTTAAAGTCCGAGGTATCATTTTCTAAACTAATATTTGAAAAGAGAAATTCAGATAAATTGAGTGAACTGAACGAACCACATCGTGAATGTAAAATATTTTGTAGTTTATTTAGGGTAATTAGAGCTCCTGTTCGCTATTACGAAAATCTCAGATTTACTGACGAAAGTTAACACAACCGCCAATAGATGGCGGCAGTTACCGCAAGTATTCTTTGAAACGAAGTGATGTCTGAATCATACTTTGTTATAATAGTACAATTTCTTACCAGGTTTACTGCGAATTTTATCTGTTTACTTCGCTTTCATGACTTAGATTTAAATAATATTCATAATGCATCTGGATATTCAGCAATACTGCCAGGTTTATGAAAGACTTTGATGTAAAAAAACTTAAGTTTTTGAGTTCGTTAGTTTTATTCACTTAAACAGGGGAAAGAAAACTTACGATTAGGCACAGCAACAAGCTTGTGTTTCGCGTAAATTCTAGCCAAAACTCTATCAATTTCGAGGGCGACCAGACACAGGTTCCTCTTCATCGGGAGCAGAAAATTCTACAGAATTTCTTTCTGCACCTGTCCGTCTTCAAAATCGATAAAGTCTTGGTTAAAATCTACGCCAAAACTGTTAAAAATCTACGTCAGAGTCGTAGCTAGGGTTTTCAGCGTCCAGGGACAACTGAAGATCTCGCGCCTCCTACTGGTTGCCAAGGGTGGAAAACATTTAATTCTAAAATGTTGTAACATCAGTTTGGCGCCCCTTGGATTCCGCGTCCGGGGACAGATGCCCCCCTTGCCCCCCTCTAGCTACGCCCCTGATCTACGCCAAACCTGGTTAAAATCTACGCCATACACAAGGTCTTTGTTTTGTTTAATTGTATATGATACTCTAGAGTTATTAACACATTTTACACGGATATTATGGATTATTTAAGAAAATATCATATAGAGTGACTCAACTGACCGTAAGCTCCCGTGGCAGTAGTGGCACTGTTGTTCGTAATAATGATCTCTTCACTTCTCAAGGTGTGAGCCTGCGATATAATCGCTTCGCACTGCACCTTCATCTTGCCTTCCCAGAAGTGTCCAGGTCTGGCGACGAATTTCAGGATGAGTTTTGAGGTGAAGAGACCATCTGGAGATTCCTGGGGTTCGAGTCTGATTATTTGGTCCATACTTGCCTATGAAAAGACAGATATTACGAGCATTGCATTGGATTTAAATAATAATTCCGCATCGAATGATTAAATTGTTATATAATATCGCTTGAAGGAAAATGATATAAATATAAAGAAATTTTATATGGAATACAATATAAGAATTCATAAATTATTTACAGAGAATAAAATTATTAAAATAATAAAAATCTGAAAGTTTTCAGATTTTTTATTACGATCAAGAGGACTTTTTTTAGTGTTTTGCGTGTTACCTTTACTTATTAAATATCATGTATTAATCATAATCGCATTTGAACCATAAATTCAATTCAACAGCAATATCACAAAATATTTAAAAGAGCATATCAGATACACAGTCTGGCGGGCTGGAGATGTTGTTTTCTTTCTTTTTTCCGTATAGTGTTGCCATTGCTCGCTTTGAAATCGTTGAGTTTGTTAATCAAAAATTCGTTAAAATGTTACAAAATATGCAGTCGATAATAAAACAAATTCCAAATTAGGGCTTCTAGATGCCCATATTGTATGGAAGATTACGTTATTCAAAATTTGATGGCCTCCTAGACCGGTGTTTTGTCACAATGTGAAAACTATCACACTCAGCAATTGTCATTATTTAATTTCTTTAAATGTAATACAGGGCGATAATATTTGGTGGCAACAATTTGAAAAGTGAAACAACGCTTATCGTGAATCAACGCAAAACGCTAAAACGAAACGAATAGTCCTTCTGGACAAATTGCCCATTTGGACTAATAATAAGTTGCTGTAATTTTATATTAGAAATTTAAATGTCAGTATTCAGTTTGTGGGGAATTATTAGTTGAATTTGACTAATCGTTTAATTTTAACTAAAGCAGCTTTCCTTTCGTTCTCGTTTTCACCCACGTTTTCAATCCAGAATGTTAATCAGGTAGCGCCCGTGTATTGAAATTAAGGGAGAAGTGCTATTTAAGCGAAGGTTTTGGAAGGTGATTTTAGTGCGTGTTATGCCTGTTTGAAGGACACGTTGTTACTTTGAATTACTGGCAATTTGATTTTGTGGTGTTGAGTGCTTCTCGCCATTAAGCTTGTTTCCACCGGCTTCTACGAGTCAGAGCCTTCCTGCACGTTTAAATTATCCTGTGAGCCATTAGGCTAGTTTAATTACATTTAATTTTAAGCTCAACATTACTTGTTTGAGTTAAGCCAGATTTGTTGGCTTATGTAAGCCCAAGTGGGGTCGTCTGCTCAACTTTACGTGATTGAATAAAGGGTTGTTTACACTTTTCTTCTGACTTTGTATGGTGATTTCGAGACTCAGGGATAATTCCTCATACAATCTTTTGAAAGTTCGTTAGTTCTGCTACCAAAACGAATGGAACTCTATAAGTTATTTCAAAGAAATCAAATTGTATATTAATGTTCGCAAAAGCAAAGCGTGATCTGAAAATTTTAGTGGAAGAATTGGGAGGATTTACTGATAGTCGTAAAATGGATGAGTTGAAGAGAATAATTTGAAGAGCAAAGCATACGATGAGAATTGTGTTGACGAGTTATTGAAGACTACTATGGAAGAAAGAAAAAAAAAGGATGTACGTTAATTATGATAAATATGACATGTATTAAGCATTTTCTCTTTTCCCTATGCTGTTATTGCAATTACTCTCTGAAGTAATTTGATTAAAAACATAGAACGCTTTGTGCATTTACAAAGGTATATTATATGTAACTGTTCTTAGTCTACGGTACTGCATATACTGCTATTATTCTATTATATACGATTGTTGAATTTGCTGCTGTTATCTTATTATTATTATTGCATTGAAAAATATTCATTAATATTGCAACTAATTGTTATTTATGACATTTATATTTATTATCATTATTGTACGTTTATTGTATGTTTAGTAAATATCAATTAGTGCTATTATTAATTGTGTACTTACTGTTATCGTATCTTTATTACTTTTATTTTGCATTGCTGCTATATAGTACGTTGATTATTAAACTTATTGTTACTACCATTTTATGGTAAATGTATTCTAAAATTATTACAATAGTTATAGAACAATAAGCAGTAGTTATGAGCGATGAAGATCATAGACTGGTAGAGTAATGAGAATCTAGGAGGTGAGAGTTTAGCAGTAAACGTAGATGAGTTAGAAAATACAGTACGTCAGGCAGCGTAGCCGAAGTTCAAATGAATGAATGTTATCTTTTGTATCATATACTGACCGGGAGGGGGAAAAACAAATTTAATTTAAATTTCTTATGAAAAACTCTTTTACTCTGTTTACATTCTTTTATTAAGCTGTCATTACATTTTTCTTACCTTAGTTATTAAATTTTAATCTTGGTCTAACTTTAATAGATTTCCGTATTTAAATACTCATAATTGCTTTGTCTTAAATCTTAAATTAAAACTAGAAAAACGTATCATGCATTAAATGCCTTTCTAACACTCTCAAGTAATTTATCTTCATAGCAGATTTCCGGTTATCAAGCATAAATATATAAACAGTACATTTCGAATTAATAGTTGCAGTTAAAAGGAGTGTATAACAGTAAAATTTTGGAGTAATAAGGGTTGGTTGAGCATCTTACTTCCAGTCCGTTGATCCACCATTTAAGAAAGGCCGCCGGTCTGGAGGGCGCCGAAATGCACGTCACATTCACCAACTCCCCTGGTGCATAGTAATTCTTTGTGCCTTTTATAATGGGCCTCGTGCTGGGGTTCACTGGAAACAGCAACAAAGCGAAAATGAATATATATTAGAACAGTTACGAAAGAGAACGTTGAAATTAGGAGACGTTATTTAATGCTGCAGAGGAGCTCAGTTCCTTTGTTTAATCATTAACTGGGGCAAAAGGAATATCTTGAGTCACATTTCATAGAAGATGTAAGCCAGAGTTTCTCAAACATTTCGAGTCATTGCCCTCTTATCTGAGCAGTTGTTTTGTAATACCTAAGTAATTTAATACAATAGAGTTTTGATTATCCGTCAGCCCTAGAACCGTCATAGTGATACATAATAGAAACTTCTTCCATCACCGTCATCATATATGTGCAGTAGATAGCAATTTCTTTTTATAGCATAATACATTCTATAATATTAAGGAAGGCATGATTAGAATTGAAAATTGGTCTCAATATAGCTCACTGTGATGCTTAAAAGGAAAATGAAACAGTTAAAGCCACAATTAAAGAACATCAAATATCTTTTGCTTTCTTAGAGTGTTCTTATAGCTCTCTTTTTTTTTCAACTTAATATCAAGTAAAACATGCACTGTATTTTTACCGAACATATACATAGATATGCATATACAGGGTGGTCCTAAAATAACTTCTCCGATATATGAACTACTAGCAGCCTATCTGCGTAACCAATCAAAATGAAATTTCAGATAATAAATGTTTGAAAGTGTGTGCGTTCAAGATTTGATGACTTTAAACAATATTCTCACGGTTATGGATACAGTGGAAACATTTTAAAATTTATGAATAGCAACCATAATTTTTTTCCTGCACAAATTGATTAGCACATTTAAAAACCATATATCGCGTTAGAAGGATACAATGCATGAAAAATATTGGTGGCGCAAAACATTTGAAATGAAAAGCATTTTAAAGTATCACTAACAACACAAAGAGAAAATACGTGTTGAATTATGAAAATTCACTCAGATAGACAGTAGAACGCCATTCACAGACTACCATGTGCAAAGTATTGCTTATAGAAAACCTTTAACCCTTTGCGGCACAGTGTGTCCGGTCTGATCGCACCTAAAAATTTCCTTCTGTACGCACAGAAAAATTGAATGAAAAAGGATTTATAGGTTACTCTGAACCTTCTTAGGGGAAGATGGCAGCTCAAACAAACCAGGGGGGAAAAATATTTGACCAGTTGTTTATAAGACCCTCATTTTTTCAAAGAATCGCCATTTTGGGGGTAGAAAAAATTGTTGAAAAGACACTAGAGTTTGGCGTAGCGAGGGCCTTATTCTACTTTAGTTTAAGGGGGACCGGAAATCTTACCTAAATCAAACTGCAACCCTAGGGTGCCAGCCGAGCTCACGATAATCTAGACCCTGAGAGCGTAGCTGGTGGCTCCCAATCTCATCGGTCAGTTCATTGACAACAATGCTCTTTTCAGCACTCTTTTCGAAGCTCTATTCAATCAGTGGGCCCATTTTGGGCACACCCACAGAATTAAAACGATAAATGGTATCTTCACAAAATTTTACTTCTGTACTCCTCTAGGCCTAATTAGACTTCCTAGCTTTTTTTTTTTAAAATCAAAACTAAGAATTTAAAAGGTAGCGTGCCGGAAAGGGTTAATAAGCAATGCGAAAAAAGTGTTATTTCAGTCAGGTGTTCGAACGTGCTGACAAAGTAACAAACAGGCAAACAAAAAGGTAAATAAATAAACTTGGGTTATTTGAATGAGAAATATCCTACCGAAGCAATGCAAGTTTATCAGCGATATCTTAAGCTAAGACGAGGCCCATTTTTCGTACAAAATGTATGTGATATTTGAAGAAATTGGATGCACGTAGGATAGACTGCGATCCGGACTAGCATGTGCTCTTGTTGAAGTTGTTGCGGAAGTGCATAATACGATTAATGTAGGTCCATTACATACTGAAAGAAGTGTTGCCCGGTGTTTGGATGTACCAAAAACGACAGTCCCCAAGCTTGTGCGCTTTATTCTACCGATATTTTCCTTACTGATTCTAGTGCGTCCAGATGTTCCAATCTGGATACGAGCAACAGGTAAAAGTGAGTTTACGAATTTCTTTCTCATCAGATATAATGAAGAGAGAAGACGCCTGTTGCGGATATTATGGATGGATGAGGCACATTTTTTCTTAACTCGTAACGTAAAAACCAAGAAGTGGCTCTGGAGTGTGGCACCAGCGCCTTTACACGAAGTCACAAGCAGTCGCTTTCGTTCTAGGTTAATATTCTTCGAAGAGGTCACTTCCTCAGATATGAAAATGTGTCCATCACAAGTGCTTGCTGTACAACAATGTTGCAGAATTACGCCATTCCAGAAGTGAAGGAGCGAAATGTTAATGACATTGTATGGATAGACGTGGTTTTCCTCCACTCGTCGTCTCATGTGTTCGGCAAGTGCTGCAACAGCACTTTGGAGAGAAGAGTCATTTCCTGTAACTTTGCAAATTCGTGCCCACCGAGATTTTCCGACTTCATTCCAATGGATTTCTGCTTTTGGGATTATCTGTTATCTAAGGTGTGCATATCAAATCCAAGAGATTTGTCAGAATTGAAAGACGCCATAAAATTTGAAGCTTCTGATTCTTCCTGTGATGTTACGTTCGTCATTATTGTTAATAATCTCCTGTATGCAATGCGTTATCATCTGCGAAGTTAGCCACGTTGAAAACTTGTATTTCCTGTAAAAGGAAATACAAGTTTTCTTCCATTTCTTCTCTTGTGTTGTCACTGGCCCTTGACAATGCTATTCTTTTCAAATGTTTTAAACCCGAAGTTTCCGTTCCATGTTTATCGTTTCAACGCCTTTTATGGTTTCTCACTGTGCTGATAATTTTCGTCTTTGTATTGATATTAAAAACTTTCTAAAGTTTTCACTATAATCGTAACCATGAGAGCTGTATTGTTTTAAATTATCAAAATCTTGAGCGCATACTTACAAATAATATCTGAAGTTACATTTCGATTGGTTGAGCAGAGGGACCACTGAGGGTTCATATACCAGGGAAGTCTTTTATACCCTCTATATCCTGTATATATAAAGAAAGTACAGAGTAATAAAACAGTTCCATTACTTGATACAGGTACAGCGTAATTAAATTAACAATACGTAATTGAAATACATACAGAAACTAAATACAATATGCATTTAATGTTACGGCACGTTTAACAGAAATTGTTCTGCGATTTTTAAAGCAAAGTTTTAGTTTTCTGTTTAGTTTTTTTTAACAGTACGATATTGTATTCTTTAAAAACGTTTAGCTTTAGGCACCAGAAGAAAACTTTCGTATTTTATTTTATAATAAGGTCTATTTTAAATTAAGACGTTTTTCCTTGCTTATTTCCCCCCTTTTTTATAGTACTGTATCGTATTTCCTAAACAAGTGATGAAAAATGTTTTTCATACCTGAAGTCAAGCATCTTAAATTCTAAAACACATACTTTACAAAAGCGTTCTAAATAACACACAACTCGGATTTCAAAATAGAAACAAATATTAAGATAAAAGGTATATTGAATTTCAGACACTTGAGAGCTATCAGAAATATGTACATTTACAAGCGCTGAATAAGCAGCTGACATCCATATATCGTATTTTGTTATCATTAAAACTTTCAGAGTGATGATTTTAAAAGTAGATAATCGGTCGCTTATATTAAAAATTCTTGAACAATTTCAATTGGAACAGAGATAGTTATCTCACCAAGCCAACTTTCACTTTTTGGAGTGAGTGAGATTTTTGGCGCAAAACCAAAGATGATTATAATGAGCCAAACACGAGGTAGGATGATCTAATTTGATGAAATCAAAATTCATTAATAAATAAAAAAGCAGACAAATGTACCAAATCCAAAGGATGAAGTCATATAAAAAAACCAGGTAAAAGCACACATTAAAATACAATACACAATCTTCAGAACAGATTACATTAGGTAATAAAAGCCAGTCTTACGGTACTCAAAATATGCGGCTAGCCGAAAGTTGCCTCGGCTAGCCGAGGTTGGTAGTAGGGTAAGAGGGGTGAGAGACCCTCGGACTCGTCTTCCCGGGGGTGCTGTACTTCAAAATCGGGGGGGGGGACTGTGCAAAGTCATACTGTCACGTGTATGTGCCCAAGGCTCTTGCCAACAACAGGCGCAATCTTGCCTCCTTGCCAAGATGAATTTCGTGGACTTGTTCTAATTTCAGGCAAGAGAAATTAGTTACAACAGCAGACATAATGAAGTTGTACATTTTTCAAGAGATACTATAGTTATAATTTAATCCTGTGATCAAGGGGTTATAAGAGAGATGAAAAAAGAATGCTGCTGTGAAATGACCATTACAGTTCTTTATAAAACAGATGATACAGATATAAGCATAAATGAATTAGCAAGGAAAACTAGTTTTCTTGATGCACTGCATTCGCTTAACATGCCTTAGAACAGGGTTTTAGAAACGGCAATAAAGAATTGCTCTAATGGTGCCAGTCTTTTTATAAAGGAAGAAATAGGAGAAGCTCAAGAACTTAAAGTCTCCAACTAGCACGATTTGTGAAGAATTTAACAAGTGTGTCGATATTAGTGAAAACACTCAAGTTCGAGCATCAATGGCAGAAGAGGATATCTACCGGTCGTTTCCTGAAACAAATCGAAGCACACCATGTGATAAACGTTTTGAAAAAATGATGATAAAATCAGCCAGTTTCATACAAGAACTGAGATAAGGGTTGCTAGACGACTATTAAGATTAGTGTTAGAGAATCAATCAAATAATTACAGAAACATTATTAATATGAATAGCTCATAAGTGAACTTTTGCGTAACAATTGCAGGCAATCAACTATTCATGATTTTTCCTTAATTAAAATGCTAAGAAAGTAAATATTTACACGTTTTAGTTATACTTGCAATAAATTAGTTAAATTCTGTTGATATTTTAAAGGATATGTTTCTCAACACTTAACAATGCTATAACTTGGTTAACGTTATTGAAATAGTCCTGCGCAAACACGATTACATT